CTTACAGAAGTCCCTACAGCGATGTATGATTTCCCTACTTGAAGCTAAAGAATAGGTTAACAACATTTTGCCACTAGTGTGTCAACATGAATATTGAGTATCATACCTGGCAAACTTTTACCTTTGGCCCACAGCTTTGGATCCAGCTGTGAGTAAATGCAATGAAAAAAAAAGTCTTCTTTCTATGCTACTGACAGAATAAATCAGAATTTATTCTGTATTTAACTCATATAATAACCTGACCTGGGCGTACTTGGTTCTCACTGTGGACATTAAAAATGTGCCATTAACCAGCTCAAATAGGTTCAAGTGAACAAATCCATCCAACAGCAAATAATTTAGAAAAGCATACAATATTTCAGAAAGACTTTTTTCATGAATTATTCCAAACTCAAAATCCAAAGCTTTATAATACTGAATCTCAATCTGTAGATATAATTCATAGTTAGAATTGAAAATTACTCCTAAAATCCCTAAGTAATTAAAATCAACTGCATATAAAATGAAGTTTTTCCAAATGATTGATCTTCCTTAGTATAGCTATAAAATCAGATTTACAATCAGAATATTCGGCTAGATTGTCAGCCCAATGCTCTAAATCAATACAACTTCAAATGAAAAATGTTCAATTAATTTAAGTACAACTCAGAAACAGGAAACAATCAGAGTCATGGTCTGTTTGCTTAAGCTTATGTCAGATTGAAATTCAAACGGTATTCACTGCGATGAGAACCCACACATTTACAAGTAATTCAGGATTGTGCAGAGATACCAAATGCACTTGGAATTGATTTGCTGATCCAAATTACACTTTAGAGCCTGCATGTTGTACTATATTTCTATACACTTGACACAAAACCTCCAAAAAAGTGCTAAGTGCACTTCCATCAGCAGCTTAAAAAGTCTGTTTGCTTTGTAAAACGGTAGAGAAAATATAACTTTAGCTAATTTCACTGAATAGCTTAGCACTGAACTAACAACTTCACACAATGTATATTAACTACAAATATAGAAACAATCAAAAATTATCCCACTTTTCCTAGAAAGCAGTCCTGTCTAGTGCTTTCCTCCTCATCCAGCTTGGAACACCTGTCGTGTCATCAGCTGAGGATGCAAAGCCACTTTACTCACATTTGAATTGAGTTAAGCACAACATTTTTAAAACCCACAAAATGTTCTCATTTATTCAGTGGAGAAATCTTTTAAAGTGAACAGCAAGACTGCAATTCATTAGAAGCACCAAGTGAATATCACACCTTGTTTAATACATAAAGTTGGATAACTTGTATTGGGTTATTAAAATTAATGCCCATGTTGTCTGATAGTCCTCGACTCCATTATGAATAGATAGGCTCAACAGGAATAAACTTTACCCCTCAGCAGAAGGTTCAATTTCCACAGGGCATAAAAGGTTAGGGATAGTAGGTTTAAAGGGGATTTAAGGAGAATTTGTTTCAACCAGAGTGGTGGATGTTTGGAACTCACTGTCTGAAAGGTGGTACAGGTGAGAACTATGAAGAAATTTCAAGAAGTATTTAGAGGAACACTTGAAGCAGCATAGCATACAAGGCTATGGGCCAAGTGTTGGGAAATACGATTAGAGAAGATAGATGCTCAATGACCAGAATGGAGTCAATACGTTGAAGGTCCTTTTTCCATGCTGTAATATTCTGTTCCATGAAATTACCGCACCAAGCACTGCCTATGTAATATTCTACATTTCCTTTCATTTTATTTCTCAACTTGTTTCCCATTTTCAAGCTTATAACAACCATGCTAAAAAGAATGCCAAGTAATTATCTTAGACTGGATAGAAATTGAATTCTTATTTATAAATTAATTATTCGGCTAATGATAACAGTTATATTTTCAAATACTGAACTGTTAACAATGGTTTTCTATTTACACATTAAACTACCGAAAGCTATCCATATATATTTTAGCCATATATAAAAAGGATATCAACATTTTGGGTGCATAAACATGGCATATATGCATAAAAGAAATGCTAGAAAGAAGAATCCATTTATATAGTGCCTATCAAGACCACCTGATCTTCCAAAGATGTATATCGTATGTGCAGCACTTTTGAAATATAGTTACATAATTTAAAAAATGAGGCAGCCAATTTACAAACTGCATTCGCCAACAAACAGCAGCATGACAATGACCAGGTGAATTTTTTTTTTAATGATGTTGATGGTGCAATTAATATTTATAGTGACACCAGTAATAACTTGCCTGGTTCTTCTTGGTCATGGTCTAACATCTCATCCCAGAGAAGGCATTTCCAATAGTGCAGTGCTCTTTCATTACTGAACTAAAGTGCTAGCCAAGATTGTTGGACTCAAGTCTTGGAATGAGACTTGAACCTACAACGTTCTGGTCAGAGGTAAGAATGTGACCAAATAAGCCACGACTGACAAGGAACGCCTTTCCATTTTTAGATGTAGTCACAGCCAATGTGTTTCCAAAGCATTTTCACAAAGCTGGTACAACAGGCAGTTACTTCCCTTCTTAGTACATTTTTCAGATTTAAATGCAATAATTGAAACAATGTTGATTACAAATTAAATCCACTACATTATTCCTCATATAACTCCTAAACAAATGTAGCCACTTGTAAGCAATTCATTTCCTTGGAGTTTAAGAATTCCTCGCACCTTTTCATACTTCCAGGCAAAATAGAGCACGTATAAAAAGGCTGGAAATCCACCATATTTCACAAAACCTCCGGATATGACAGCAAGGCATATGCCCTAACGAATCAGAAAGACTCAGCCTCCATGCCGTAGACATGTTCATGTGTAGCTGGACCCAAGTTTAGATTTGCTAAGTGCAGAGGCTCAAAGTAATTCAATTAGATTAACCATGAACTTTGTACCAATACCACCCACTTCATTCATCAGTTTGCAACCTGGCTTCCAATTTGCACCCAGCTGAGATCCCAACCCATACCTCTTCGATCACAACGAGTGCCTATGTCCAACCTCTAATGTCACCAGTCTTCCTCTCCTACTTCAGCCATTCTGCTCCAAAATCGTCAAGCTATGCTCGCCACTTCTAAGATTTGAGTATTCTAATGTTCCCCTGATGAACCTCAAATCTTCCACCCTCCATGAAATTCAGTCTATACAAAATTACGGTGCCCATATTCTAACCTGCTCTAGTCTTGTTCACCCCTATGCTCACAGGCCTACAGTAGGACCTAGTTCTCAAGTAATTCTAGTTGAAAATACTGATTCTGTCTTCCAAATCTCACATGGAAATTCCCCATCCTCCCTTGGTAACATCTTCAGACACTACAACACTCTAAGAACTCTGCATTCCTCCAACCGTGGCTCATTCCTTTTGTTGCACCATGCTTTCAGACTCAGCAATTTTCTCTGTACCTTCCCTAAAATGGATCTCTTTGAGTAAACCTTCAGTTACTCCTCTTTACATCATAATCACTGGCTTGGTCATAGAATCCCTACAGTTTGGAAGCAGGCCATTTGGCCCATCGAGTCCACATTGACCTGCCAAACAGCATCCCACCCAGACCCACCCCTCTACCCTATAACCGTGCATTTCCAATGGCTAATCCACCTAGATCGTACAAACCCGGACAATTTAGCAAAGCCAATCCACCTAACCATGGGAGGACACCGGAGCACCTGGAGGAAACCCACGCAGGAGAATGTGCAAGCTCCACACAGACATTTACCTGAGGCTGGAATTGAACTCGGGTCCGTGGCACCGAGAGGCAGCAGTGCTAATCACTGAGCCACCATACTGCCCCATCAATTTTTGTCTCCTTACGTTTCCCGTGAAGTTTCTTGGATCCTTTGATATTTTCTACATTAAGGATGCTACATAAATGTAATCTGTTGCTTTCAATAGTTCAATATCTGGAATTAATTTCAAATCAGAATGTGCAAATTGTTGTTCCAATTGTAATGCAACTTTAGTTACATTATTATAGTTCTTTAATTGATTATATTATATTGATTTTTGTATAAAGGCCCATTTTTGCAATCTGTATGCCGGTTTATAGATGGGTTTTTCACTATAGTGCGTGCTGAAAAAAATATTTAACACACCCCAATGAGCAAGGAAAATTAATTCAAGAAAACCATTTCACCAACTGTGTTCATCTTCTCATATTTCATTACACACCACCTTGTGTAAAAATGCATTTTCACCATTCACTTTGACCTCATTTCCTTTCTAGTTTTAACAAATGTTCAGCCCCTGACCAACATTGTTTTCTTAGACTAGAGTGGTTTAGATCACTTCAAGTTTGCATCCATCAGGAAACTGCAAACAAACAGGAAACCACTCAACAGCTTTGAGAGTTTTGTAGGACCCTGCTACTGATTAGACTGTACAGTCTCACTCATTTGCCAGAAATAATCTAGACTTTGTTCTACTTTAAGCAATATTTACCAGTGACATGTCATCATCAGAAAAGAAACAAGTATGAACTCCTGCCATATGATGCCCACATGTCAGGTCCTACCTTAAGTATTACTTTTACCAATTTGTGTAGATTGGTCTGCTTCTACTATATGTAGCATGCAGACAGCATGGTGGCAAGTAATGTACAGAAAACAACTTAATGAGTTTTCATATGAAGCAAGCTGCTGTGTTGAGGTAATGGCTATGAATCATCTCAAGATTCTGATTTAATTTGCATCTACTAAACATCTACTAACTTAAAGCAACATATTTAATTGTTGTCAATCAATTCCACACATCAAAAATTGATCCAAAAAATGCAGTTATGGGTTATAGTTTGTTCCTACTAAGTCTCACACTAACGTTAAGCAACAAGTTAACTCTAATTATGAACTTTCACACAATCTTCACAATTGGAAACCATACCTTTTTGAATGCTACCCTGACGACATGAAGAAAACTACATTTTCAACTCTCTGAACCAGACATAACAAAATATGATGATCAGCACATTGAACCCTCAGGTTCATTTGGCATTTAATTGCTCCCTCAGTACTGACCTTGTTAATGTGAATCTGTTGTTGCTGGAACTGCTGTTTGTGTTTCTCCAGGAACTGCTGATGCTGCTGCTGTATGACCAGCTGTTGTAAGGCCTGTGCATTCTGTGGCAGCGGTGCTGACTGCGTCCTCCCTAACGGACGGTGCTGTCTAAGCTTGTGTATGGAAGGCGAAACTCTGTCTGGGCCAACGAGCGATTGGGGGTGAATGGGTAATGCTCCCAATCCTGAAAGGTACCAGAAAGATTTAATGCAGAAAACAGCAGGAGAAAACAGAAGATATAAGAAAAAAGGAAAGGAAAGAAAATGTCTGTTGAGTAACTCTGATAAGAACAGGCTACTGCAATCAGCCATTTTCCACTGCAAATACTCTCTGTGGTACTTTAATTTCAGGAAAAAATTCAAAACAGTCAGAAACTTCAACATTAACAAGTTCCAAAAAATAAATCAACCTGCAGAAAGCATTCCAATTGATTATGCAGCATAACAGCTTTTGTACAGCTATCTTAAAAAAAAAAGTTGTGTATGTAAAGGCTAGCAAAATTCAAATCAAGTCTGATTCAAACCTGCTACCAAAACAAAACTGTTTAACAGACAACAGTACGTTCGTTTTTGATTTGTTGTTGTCACATGTACCAAGATGCAGTGAAAAGTGTTGATTTGCATGCTATACAAGCAAATCGTACCATACAAAGTGCATCAGGGTAGCAGAACAGAGTGCAGAATACAGTGTTATAACCACAGAGAAGGTGCAGACAGAGAGATCAAAGTTAACATTTGAGAGGTCCGTTCAAAGGTCTAATAACAGCAGAGAAGAAGCTGTTCTTGAATCTGTTCATACATGTAATCAAATTTCTATATCTTCTGCTCAGCGCAACAGGGTGGAAGGGTGTAAAACAGAGTTCAAAGGGGTCTTTGATTACATTGGCTGCTTTCCTGAGACAGCAGGAAGTATAGATGGTGGCAATGGATAGAAGGCTGGTTTGCATGATGGATTGGGCTGTGTTCCTGACACTCTGTAGTTTCTTGTGGTCTTGGGAAGAGCAGTTTCCATGCCGTGCTTTGATGCATCTAGATAGGATGCTTTCTGTGGTGCACCTATAAAAGTTGGTAAAGAGTCACTGTGGATATGCCGAATTTCCATAGCCTCCTGAGGAAGCAAAGATGTGGAATCACGGAACCTCTACAGTGCAGAAAGAGGTCATTTGGCCCCTAGAGTCCACACCAACCCCAGAAGAGCATCCCACCCAGATCCACTGCATCTGCTGCTCCCAATGCGGCCTCTTTGTAGAGCACCTGCACTCTGTCCGTGACAAATGACAACACCTTCCAGTCGTGAACCATTTCAACTACCCCTCCCACTCCCTGGGTGACACGTCCATCCTGGGCCTCCTCCAGTGTCACAATGATGCCACCCAGAAACTGGAGGCGCAGCACCTTGTATTCTGCCTTGGGAGCCTACACCCCAATGGTCTCAATGTGGACTTTACCAGTTTCAAAATCTCCCCACCGCCGGCCTCTTCCCATGGCCAACCTTCCCTCTCATCCCAGCCTCCTTGACCTGACACAACCTGTCCATCTTCTCTCCCATCTATCTGCCCCGCACATCCCACTGACAAATCCCCACCACTGCCTACCTGCACTCACCTATCGCCATCCCAACTACCTTCCCCAGCCCCACCCCTCCTCTCTCTATTTATTTCAGAGCTCCCTTCCCCCTCCCCCATTTCTGAAGAAGGGTCCCGACCTGAAACGTCAACTTTCCTGCTCCTCAGATGCTGCCTGGCCTGCTGTGTTCCTCCAGCTCCACACTGTTATCTCTGACTCCAGCATCTGCAGTTCTTACTATCCCTATCCCTGTAACTCCATTTGCCATGGCTAACCCACCTAGCCTGCACATCCCTGAACACTACGGACAATTTACCATGGCCAATCCACCTAACCCGCACATCTTTGGACTGTGAGAGGAAACTGCAGCACCCTGAGGAAACCCACGCGGGCACAGGGAGAATGTGCAAACTCCACACAGACAGTCATCTGAGGGCAGAATTGAACCCAGGTCCCTGGCACTGTCAGGAAACAGTGCTAGCCACTGAGCCACTGTACCGCCCTTAATGTTGTGGTGTTTTCTTGATTGTTGTGTCAATGTGGGTGGACCAGTTTAGACTGTTGGTAATCATCACACCCAGTAACTTGATGCCCTCAACCATCTCCACCTCAGCACCACTGATGCAGACAGGGGCGTGCCCTCCACTCTGCTTCCTGAAGCCAATGGTCAGCTCCTTCGTTTTGCTGACATTGATGGAGAGATTGTTGTCTCTACACTATGCACTCAATCTCTTTCCTGTATTCTGTCTCGATGTTGTTGGAGATCCAACCTACAACAGTAGTGTCTTCATCAAACTTGTAAATGGAGTTGGGGCAGAGTTTGGCCACGCAGTCGTGACAGTAAAGGAGTATAGTAGGGGGCTGAGTATGCAGCCATGCAGGGCACTGTAGTTGAGGGTTATGGTGGAGGAGGTGTTGCCTATTCTTACTGACTGCAGTCTATAGGTCAGGAAGTCAAGAATCCAGTTACAGAGGAGGAAGCTGAGACCTAGACCTTAGAGTTTAGAGGTGAGTTTGTTTGGAATTATGTTTGTTGAAGGTGGAGCTGTAGTCAATAATAATATCAGTTGTCACAACATTTTCAGTATATATATCTTATTAAGACACCAGACGATTAAAACGTTGGTTCTCCATCACGCAACCTATAACTATTTCAGTTGAATTCCACATGTTAAAACCAGAAATATTCTAATCTGTTAGGCATCTGCAACTCAAAACAGTGAATAAAAGTCCATTAGAAAATAAACCCAGTTTTCCTTCACTAATTTATTATTTTTGCTTGAAAGTATTTGACTCAATGTTGATATATGATTCCAAAAGTAGCAATTCCATTAATACATCCAATTAACCATTAACATGAACGTCTTCAATGAACACAGGCAGGATTTCAATACTAATAATGGGGCATCATACTCTAGCCTGATTCTGTCCTCTTCAATTTCACCTTGAATCATTAGATCACTGCACATTATTCGGTACTCAGAATTTTAGCATTAAAAAGTAAATATCATTGTCACCTGTTCTTTCCCCCATCTCTGTGCTTTTTAAAAATCTGTTCAACCTCTTAGCCTTTTGTCAGAACTAGAAAGTTGTTTCAACTTGTAACATCAACTCTTTCTTTCTTCCCTTGGGTTCTGCCTGTCCTGCCAAGCTTTCCAGCATTTTCCATTTTTATTTATGACTGTTTGCGAATACAACACTATATTTTTTGCCTATCAGTGACCCTGTTTGGTGCTGCAGTTCCAGTTAGTAAGTTAATCATAATATTTATTCTTGTAAATATGACCTCCTTTGACCACTGAACTCTGGCATTCCTCGTGAATGACATATTAACTAAATTAGCAGCACTAAGTATTTAAACAAAGATAGATTTTATTCAAGCATTAAATGACAAAGTACTTTATCCTATTTTTCTAATCTCTCCATCTCCATTGCATCTGTTTGGACAATGTCACCTTCTATACCAATGTTTCAATTATGTCTCCCTCTTTCCTAAACTGAGGAATACCATCAATGGAGCCCAGCAGTTTCTATAAAAAATACTTCAAATATACTTACAATTTTTTGGATCAAAGGATGTACGGAACAGACACTTATTCATCTAAACACGCACACTCATCACGAAGGCAAAGGAAATTGCATTTAATTTTGACTTTTTCATTGGACAAAGATCTGCACTGAACCATTATCCAATGAATGAACATCCAATCTCATGTGAGTCATTGCTTGGTTTTACTCAGTCTAAATGTTCCCTTCAGCAAATGCAAATAACGCTCACATCATAATATTGGAAAATAATAATAATAATGAAAAATAAGATGATGACAGATGAGCACAACGATAGCAAAAGTGTGGCAAACGGAAGAGTACAGCAAATTAGAGACCAAAAGTGGGATTTACACTTAGAGAAAAGCCGCATGGTTGAGATGTTACATGAATAGTTTGCATCCCTCTTTGAATATGAGGCAGATCATGCCCAGGCCATAGTGACAGAGAAGGCAACTTCATCAATGGAGGGTTTAAAATTGATAAATTGGTGGAAGCAATGGTAAAGCCGTCAATACTTAAAGTCACAAGTTATCACGCAATGGGACCAGATGTGATGCACAAGTGGAAACTGTAGAGAGTTTGGCAATAATCTTTCAATTCTCCCTTGATGTGGAGTGATGCCAGAGGAAAGGAGAATTGCAAAATTGCCCAGAAATTGCAGACCAGTCAGTTTAACTTTGTTGGTGGGGAAACTTCTAGAAACAATTATTTGAATTAGTGGTCACATGGAAAAATATAGGTGCTTCAAGAGACTTTGAAGGCATGGATTTGTTCAGGGTAGATCGCATCTAACTAACTTGTTGGAGTTCTTTTTGAAGAAGTAACAGACAGGCTTGACGAGAGCAAGGCCTCGTATGGTTTATGGGAACATTCGAAAGTGCCACACAATAGATGTGTGAGGTAAGTTACAGATTAAAAGGGACCATAACAATGTGATATAAAATTGGCTGAGGGATAAGAAACAGAGAATAATGGTTAATGAGTTTTTTTTGAGCTGGAAGTCAGTCTGTGATGGAATTCTCCAGATGTTGATATTGGGATCTTGCTTTTTCTGTTGTACGTAAACGATCTAGATCTTGGTGTGAGGGAAAAATTCCAAAGTTTGTGGATGACACAAAGCTGGAGGTATTTCTATACTTTAAAGAGGGCAGTGCAGAACTTCAAAAAGACACTGATAAATTGGTGGGGAGTGGATAAGTGGCAGATAAAAAAAATACATGGAGAGATTGTATAAACTATATATACTATTCTAAAGGGGTAAGTCACTGAAGGTGATGGGACAAGTACAGAAACCTGTTAATAAGGTATTCGGTATTCTGGGCTTCATTAATGCAGCATTGAGTACAGCAGTAGGGAGGTCATGATGAACGCATATATAAGACACTGATTAGACCTCAGCTGGAGTATTTTATACAATCTTGGATGCCACACTTATAGTACTGACGTGAATACATTGAAGAGTGTGCAGAACAGGTTTATGGGAATGGTTCCAGGGATGACACTTCAGTCATGAGGAAAGATTGGAGAAGTTGGGACTGTTTTCCTTGGAAAGAAGGCTATGAGGAAATTTGATAAAAGTTATAAAAATCATGAAGTGTTCGGATTGAGTAGATAGGGAGAAACTGTTCCCGCTTGTAAAAGGATCGAGAACTGGACAGTATAGTTTTTAAATGTTCTGCAAGAGAAGGAAAATAAGTTGAGAACTTTTCTCCCCTCCCCACAGTGAGCAGTTAAGGTCTGAAAGGCCTGGAAGTGTGGTGGAAGCAGATTCAAAATGAGCTATTCCAGAGGGCATTAGACGCTTAATAGAAATAATGTACAGGCTACAGGGAAAAGGCAGGAGTTTAGTACTAGGTTAAAATGCTCAGAAAGTTGATGCAGACATGAAGGGCTGAATTGCACCCATAACAATTCTGTGGTTCTGATTCAAAGAAAAATAAATTCAAATTGAAATAGTGATATTTTGAAAGTGCATAAAAATTGCTTCTCTTTGGTCTTGGGAAAAGAAAAAATACCCCAAAACCAAGTGAATTTTGATAAAAAGAAAATTGAAATTGAACATTCTGAAGGAAGGGTCACCAGACTTGAAACTTTAACTCTGATTTTTCTTCATAGATGCTGCCAGACTTGCTGAGCTTTTCCAGCAATTTCTGTTTTTGTTCCTGATTTACAGGATCCACAGTTCTTTCAGTTTTTATTTGAAATTGAACATTGTGCAGAACTAGGTTTCCAAGTGCTGGAAAATGCAAAATCTTTCTATTTTGGACACCAAAACCATAGTCTACTGCTTCATTACACCCAGCAATGGCACTTCAGGAAGTTCAGCAATCTCAGCTAAACATTAAAATTCAAAGTTGGAAAAGCTAGGCGTATAGACATTGAAAATCACAGTGCCTGTCAGAATCAAGCACAAATTCAAGTCAGGTCAAATATGCAATAAGTTCCCTCTGTTCCGCCCAATATTTTAAAAATCATTACTGTTAGATAATGTTAAAAGCTTTGTAGGAATTTTGAAATGCATGAAATGAAATTTTGATCATCATGTAGACAAACAGGATGACCATTTTACGATCAGTAAGAGCCCTTCAACGAGAGATCAATAACCAGTTGATTTGCTTTTGGCGGAAAGAATGTTGCCTAAGACACCATTTTTCATCCAGTAGTCTTGATTCTTTCATATCCAGTGGAGCATCTGAAACAGGCAGAAAGTCTACGTCCACAAGGAGATGAGTGTTAATTCCAATTTCGGGACACCATTTTGTGTAACAGACTAAGGGAGCATTTCAGTTTTGACTAAAGCTAACAATGTAGAACCAAGTATGGTGACGCATAGGAAATACCACAGTGGTGAAATTCACGGGCACCAGAACACAGGATACTAACAGTGTTAGAAACAATAGATACCCGATCAGTTTCAGCTGGGTTCAAACCCAAGACCTTAAACAAAGAAGCAATGTTTCAATCAGCTGTATAGCTTATTGTCGAAGTTTCTTTGTTTTGTTGAACAGAGTATTGACAGATTCAGGAAAAGGAACAATGCATTGAAACACATACTCCTGCAGAAATAGGATATATTCTAGTCAGGAGCAAAACCCAACAAAATTTGGCCACGTGCATCAAGGTGAGAATTACTAAGTTTACAAAAAGACAATTTTGAAGTTTCTTTTTCTCTTCTTGTCTCCTTCCCAGTACTGTTGCTCGAACAAGCAAGCAGACAGGCAATCAGTTCTTGGGCCTCTGCTACAGATTTTAAACCAGTTGCTGGTAGCTATACTAGAGTGACTGGGGGTGTCTCAACCCTATATTGCAAATAAACAGGCTAAGGTCATGACTCTTGCTCTTGAGGGAGTGCAGTGAAGGTTTACCAGGCTGATTCCGGGGATGGTGGGTCTGACGTACTGTTTTCACTAGAGTTCAGATGAATGGGGGGGTGAAGTGTCTCATAGTGACTTCTAAAATTCTAACAGGACTGGACAGGGTAGGTGCAGGGAGGATGTTCCCGATGGTGGGTGCGTCCAGAATCAGGGGTCACAGTCTGAGGATTTGGGGTAGACCATTTAGGACAGAGATGAGGAGACATTTCTTCATGCAAAAAGTGGTGAGCCTGTGGAATTCATTACCACAGGAAGTAGTTGATGCCAAAACACTGAATGTATTCAAGAGGCAACTAGATATAGCACTTGGGGTGAATGGGATCAAAGGTTATGGGGAGAAAGCAGGATTAGGCTATTGAGTTGGACGATCAGCCATGATCGTGAAGGATGGTGGAGCAGGATCAAAGGGCCGAATGGTCTCCTCCTGCTCCTATCTTCTATGCTTCTATGATTACTAGTTTATGGATGTTCAATGCATACTTATAAAATTCCTTGGATTACTATTTCAAAAGCACGATTATGTTCCATTATACATCTCTATCAAATAATAAGCAAATAAATTTCAAATAGACATGCTCTTTTCCATTCCAATCTTTGCAATGTGAAATTTCAAAGACACAGAAATCAAGTTTCCTTTTATTATTAAATATACACATCAGATACTCTTTTCACATTGTTCATTCCCTAGTTTTCCTGATAGTACTTTAGAGAAGTTATATCTTTTACACACACCTGAATCATTCAAGGCTTTTTTATACAATTACCTACCAGTTATGAGTGGACTTTGTGGTGTAGATTGGTCCAGTAAGACCATATGTTGCAAGAGAGGTGTGTGCCCACTACTGCCATCTTTATCCAAAGTGGTGATGTAATGTGGTAGGTGAGTACCAGCAATAAATGGAGTGTTCAATGGGAGTCCTTGTATGCCCACTCTTTCACCTTCTGCTTGCCCAGAGGCTCCCTGCGTGCAAATACAAAACACTTTGAACAATTTCATATATCTTTTGTGTGAATAATCACAAATAACATTTTAACAGTAATAAGTACAAATTGCATTATATGTCACAGTTGGAATTTCTTCTATATCCAATTTAAAGCTGATCCAATTTACACAATAAGCCCATCCTGAACTGTCATAAGATTGCAAGAGACCAGGCGGAAGTGTTTGCTAGAGTCAACAGCCAAGATTGAGTGCATGATTGGACTCCACTTCTTTCCTTATGCCAATGCCTGGGTTCACTTCAATAGAGAAACAGATCAACACAATGGATGTAGTAAACTCTATGGATTATAATGATATGCAGGCTATAAAACGGACAACTTGTGTGTAAGAATTAGCTGTCTTTCAACTGTGCAGTTCCAGGAAAAACATGACAATGGTAACTAAAAAAAGTGTAGTAATGTGCTATCAAAAATAGGACAAATCTTGATGATAATTACCATCCTACCAACCTCCCTAAAATCACTAATAAGGCAATTTTTAAAAAATTGAGACATGGACATCACTGGCCAGCCAGCATTTATTGGCCGTTCATGGCTGTCCTTTAATTGAGTAGCTTGCTAGGCCATTTCAAAAGGCAGTTGAGAGTCAGCCACATTGCGGTGGGTCTAGAGTCGCATATAAGCCAGTTCAGGTGAGGATGGCAGATTTCCTCCCCTGAAGCACATTAGTGAACTAGATGGGTTTTTCTGACTATTGGCAATGATTTCATGGTCATCAGGAGATTCTTAAATTTAGATTTTTATTATGGAATACAAATTCCACCATCTGCTGCTGTGAAATTCTAACCTGGGTTTCCAGAACATTAGCCGAGTTTCTGGATTATCAGTCTAGCAATAAAACAACTAGGCCCTCTCCTCCCCAACAGTGCCATCTTCCATTCATGAATACCCTACTCACGGACTCTCAGGTCAGCGTTCATTAACATAAAACTTTGTGTCTGATCTCATCACAGCCTGGATCCAACGTGAATACAAGCTGAATGCCAATGAGATGCGATGCAGCTGCAACTATCAAAGCAGAGCTGTCTCACTAGTGCCCAAAATCCACCTACTCTACCACTAGTGACGTGGCTTTTCAATGGTGCACTTTAACAACTCATTAAGGTTACTTTGAATGCAAAGAAATCTCCTCTTCAACCTTTACTATGGAAAATGATGACAGCCACAGTGTTGTGATTACTGCATCACCTTGGGGATCTTTTCCAAACAGCACACCAACCTGATATTTCTTTAAAATTCACAAGAGGTGGGCGCTAAACATAAGAAATAGGAGGAGTACGCCATTTGGCCTGTCCATGATCTTTTCATGGACTCAGCTCCACTTACCCGCCCGCTCACCATTACACTTGATTCCTTTACCTTTTAAAAATGTATCTATTTTTGCCTTAAAAACATTCAAATGAGACAGCCTTAACTGATTCGCTGGGCAGGGAATTCCACAGATTCACAACCCTTTGGGTGAAGAAATTCCTCCTCAATCCTAAATCTCTTCTCCCTTACTTTGAGGCTATGCCCCCTAGTTCTAGTTACACCCACCAGTGGAAACAACCTCCCTGTTCTTATATTAGCTAAACCGTTCATAATTTTATATGTTTCTATAAGAAACCCCTATCATTCTTCTAAATACCAATAAGTAAACTCCCAGTCTATTCAATCTCTCCTCATAAGCCAACACTCTCAATTCCAGAATCAACTTAGTAAACATCCTCTGCACCCCCTCCAGTGCCAGTACATCCTTTCTCAAGTAAGGAGACCAAAACTGTAAACAGTACTCCAGCACCATATACAGTTGCAGCATAACTTCTCTGTTTTTAAAGTCTACCCCTCTAACAATGAAGGACAATATTCCATTTACCTTCTTAATTACCTGCTGCACCTGCAAACCAACCTTGTGTGATTCATGCACAAGGACACCCAGGTCCTTCTGCACCGCAGCATGCTGCAATTTTTCACCATTTAAATGATAGTTTATTTTGCTGTTATTCCTACCAAAATGGAGGACCTCACATTTACCAACATTGTACTCCAACTGCCAGATCCTTGCCCATTCACTTAATCTATCTATATCCCTCTGCAAATTTTGTGTCTTCTGTACACTTTGCTCTGCCATTCATTTTAGTGTCATCTGCAAATGCTGACACTCTACACTTGGTCCTCAACTCTAAGAGATCTATGTTAATTGTAAACAATTGCAGTTCCTACACTGATCCTTGAGGCACATCACTAGCCACTGACTGCCAACCAGAAAAAACACCCATTTATCCCAACTCTTCACTTTCTGTTAGTTACTACCCAATCTTCTATCCATGCTAATACATTACCTATAAAGCCGTGCACCATTTTTTGCTGGCTAAGTCAGCATTTACTGACCATCCCTAATTCCTCTCGAGAATGTGTGAGCTGCCATCATGCTTTTATCATCACTGGGTAAATATCCTGGAATGCCATGACTAGGACAATTGTTGGAACAGTATTACTACATATAATGTAGTAGTTTAAGGAGAACGTTATTCATTTCATGATAACAAACGGGGCTTTGCCAGTTTTGTCCACACTCCAAAATTTCTTTCTACAACTATTTTGTTTCCCTTCAGGCAGATTAATAGATTGGGAGAATCAATGTTGCATAATGTACAATGGATCACTGCTTATTTTTCACTCTGCAATTAGCTTAAGGGTGAAGTGCTCAGACAAAAGCAATTAAAACTTGAACAAGGTTCCTTCCTTGAATTACAAAAAGCTCAAGTGAATTTCAGAATTTGGCATCAGAGTATGTGGTTGTGCCTTGAGTTCTATTCAATGTGGAGAGTATACCAAAAATTAATAAAGTAAGTAAGGCCACCTCACGAGATTTTCCCAATATAGCACTCTTGGATTTTCTGTTCAAAAGTCATACTATCTGTTTTTAGACTACTGCTTTAGGCTACTGAATGTCTGCAGAATTGGGAGGGGCAGGGTAGTACCACTTTACAATCTCGTCCCACCTTCACCTGGTGCTTCAAATAGCTTAGCCAAAATCAGGAATTCGCTACGTGGAGAATATAAGTGTGAACCTGTGCTTCAAAACTGCAGAACTAATGTAAATTGAAATATTCAGAGAATCATCCTAAATTGCCACTTCACCACATCCATTTATACAATGGAAGTGGGGTGAGGAGGAGCTATGGCAATGCCCCCAAGTTCTCTCAACTGCAGATTGGAGGATTGTTTAACACAAGTGCTGGGATCTGTTTACTGTTCCTTAACCATCTGTAAACTTTCTATCAAAACAGCTAAAGAAAGAAATGAAATGGAATCTGAGCCACTAGCTGATTTAATTGATGTCTGCTTGATATTTCCACTATCATTTGTCATTAATGGTACATGAGCAATATCAGTGGTTCAGTACTTACACTAGAGGGACCTGTGGCTGGCAGACCTAGAGTTATGTTGGGCAAAGATGGCGAAGTATACAGAGGCAATTGTGTCACTGAGCCATCTCGAGTAACGAGTTTGTGAGGCATTGTAGACTGAAACAGAAAAGGGATGACATGAATTTCAACAATAAAAAACATAATATCAAATTGTTACTTATGTGATATTTGTTGATTTTTCCATGACATTATAAAACTCGAACTTCAGAATCAGCGCACCAAGACTTAGATTATCACCAGTTTCCTCTTTGGATCACGGAGGCATAAATGCATTATTATTAGAGGATGTCAGAAGGGTATTAGAAGATTTTGCCCTCTCTGGCAAGGGTCATTAGAATATAGAACACGATAGGACACTGAGGCAGGTCCTAAATTACCTCTTAAAAGGAAACTAACTATTTATTTAAAACAAAGAACATTAAATAATACTGTGAAGGGCAGAGCAACAAGCTTAGAGTAAGTTGCTGCAGTTGAAATGTGAGCATGAGCACAAAAGTCATGAACTGAATCACCTCTTTGTTTTTGTCATCTGTGTGATTGTAAAGTCATTCAATTGGTATCTATGGGCAATCCCATTATAATGGACACCCTCTCTCTCACTTGCTACGTTCCTCTGCAAGCCTCTTTCCGAGACTAAGCTTAGGGTCTCAGCAGCTAAAGGCAAGACAACCCATGGTAAAATTATCAAGATCTCAGAAGCTCAAGAGGGCAGAACTGGAGGGCTGCACAGCTAGAAGAGATTATAAAGATAGGAATAGAGAGGTCTTAAGAGGAATTTGAAGATAATGATGAGAAATGTGAAAGAGAGGCTTTGTTTAACTGGGAACTAACGTCAATCGGCAGGTTAGAAGGTATGGTAAATACCCGACAAGAAGTGGGGTTAGAGCAGGGATGAAGTAAGCGGGAAAGTGTGTGGCTGCGCGTGCATGTGTGACTTGTGTGCGTGTGTGCATCTTATTCCTTAATGCTCGAAAGAGAGAGAAAAATTTTCTTCTTAAAATGAATAGCTTGGAGATAGCACGGGGAAGTTCTGATGGAGAGAGAGGTCGAAAGAGTTCACGTGGCGATACTGAATACGGATATCAGGATATGGCAAGAACAGTTGTCTGAGCAGTGTTGTATATCACAGAGATAGTTGGATAATCCTAGATGGATTTGAAACGCTAAGGGTGAAACTTTAGTTTGAACCACATGGGGCAAATCAGAATTGCACAGAGTTACTAGAAATGAGACGTGGCTGCGGAAGTGAGTTTCAGCAAATACCTTGTCTGATACTAGGATGGAACATGAAAGCAGTGATGGTGAACAAGAAGAAAAAATCAAACAAAAGTCCTGTCAGAAACTGCAATAGAACTTCAAGGTGGGCATACCTGGAAGAGATGTGGCAGTGAATTAAACACTAAACAAAAACAAAGAAATGCAGATGCTGGAGATTTGAAACAAAAACTGACAGAGCTGGAGAAACTCAGCATGTCTTGAAGCATGTGTAGAGAGAAATTTGGTATACTTGCCTTTATTGGTCAGTGCGTTAAGTATAGGAGGTGGGAGGTCATGTTGAGGCTGTACAGGACATTGGTTAGGCCACTTTTGGAATACTGCATTCTGTTCTGGTCTCCCTCCTGTAAGAAGGATGTTGTGAAACTTGACAGGGTTCAAAAAGGATTTATGAGGATGTTGCCAGGGTTAGAGTGTTTGACCTATAGGGAGAGGCTGAATAGGCTGGGGCTATTTTCTTTGGAGCATCAGAGACTAAGGGGTGACCTTATAAGGGGTTTATAAAATCATGTGGGGCATGATTAGGCAAATAGGGTGAATAGCCAAGGTCTTTTCCCATAGGTGTGGGAGTCCAGAACTAGAGGTTTAAGGTAAAAGGGGAAAGATTAAAAAGGGACTTAAAAGGCAACTTCTTCACACAGAGGGTGATGTGTGTATGCAATCAGCTACCAGAGGAAGCAGTAGAGGCTGGTACAATTACAACATCTGAAAGGCACTGGATGGGTATATGAATAGGAAGGGTTTGGAGGGATATGGGCCAAATGCTGGCAAATGGGACTAGATTAATTTAGGATATCTAGTTGGCATGGACAAGTTGGACTTAAGGGTCTGTTTCCATGCTGTACAACTCTATGACTCTAAAAATACAGTTAATGTTTCAAGTCCAGTGACCCTGGATAAATGGGTGTTTTTCTGGTTGGCAGTCAGTGGCTAGTGATGTGCCTCAAGGATCAGTGTTGGGACTGCAATTATTTACAAATAACATAGATGTCTTAGAGTTGAGGACCAAGTGTAGAGTGTCAACATTTGCAGGGACCGTTCCCTCCGGGACACCTGATCCACTTCCCCACTACCATTACAAGGCAGCTTCCCAAGCAATTGTAGAAGGTGTAATACTTGCCTGTTTACCTCCTCCCTCTTCACTATCCAAGGCCCAAAACACCCCTTCCAGGAGAAGCAGCAATTTACCTGCACTGTAAGCAACCTAGTCTACTGCATCTGGTGTCACAATATAGTTTCCTCTGCATTGGAAAGCCAAAGCACAATACTTTGTGGAACAAACTGATTGCCTTCAGGAACACCTCGACTCTATAAAAATGACCCTGAGCTTCCAGTTGCCTGCCATTTTAACACACCACCCTGTTCCTTGGCCAACATCTGTCTCAGGTTTGCTGCAGTGTTCCAATGAAGCTCAGTGCAAGCTGGAAGAACAACAACTCGTTTTATACCTGGGAACTGTGCAGCTCTCTGGATTCAATACTGAATTCAATAATCTTAGGGCCTGAACTCTCCCATGTCCTAGCCCCTTACCCCACACACCAGGCCTTGTTATCACATAGCCTACCATTACACACTACCTATTGTTAGCCACTAACAGTGTCCATTAACAGCTATTCACCCTCCTAGCCAGATCGTTATCAATTCCATTGTCTGTCCAACTGTTCTTCTCTCTCTTAGGGCTCTATCTCCACCTATCGTTTACTTCTTAACTCCTTCCCCCACCCCATCTTCTGCATATAAACTGACATTTTCCTAGCTACCATCAGTTCTGAGGAAGGGTCACTGGACCCAAAACGTTAATTCTGATTCTTCCTCACAGATGATGCCAGGCCTGCTGAGATTTTCCAGCAACCTCTGTTTTTGTTCCTGATTTACAGCATGAGCAGTTCGTTCGGTTTTTATTTGGCCTTTTTCTGTGCTGTAGATGTTTACGAATATCCATGAATCACGTGAGTTTTTTTTAACAACAAGCCTTTATTAGTGACCTTAATAACCTCATGTAATCTGTACAGATGGTCTTGACTTATTGAAAGACTTATTTTTATGTCCAGCATGCAATCCTTAAGAGGGAGATGAAGTGCTGTTGAAACAGTTTGGGAACTGACAAGTTACTTGGTGTAGTGTTTTTAAAAATTTTTTTTTTTGGTGGAGGGAAAAAAGATCCAAAGAAGGAAAAAAAAAAAAAAAAAAATTCTGAAGCAAAGATAGTAGGAACTGCAGATGCTGGAGAATCCGAGACAACAAGGTGCAGGGCTGGATGAACACAGCAGGCCAAGCAGCATCATAGGAGCAGAGAGGCTGACGTTTCGGGCCTAGACCCTTCATCAGAAAAGGACGGCAGTTGGAGATGAAGAGGTCGAGGGAGGGTAGGAGGCCTTGGGGTGGTGTCCAGGAGGAGGGGGTGTGTTGGAAGCGGGAGAAGGGGTCAGTAGAGGGAGGGTTAGGTTCACGGTTAAAGAAGTAAGCGTGGAGGCGGAGGCGGCGGAAAAACTGCTCTTTTCTGATGAAGGGTCTAGGCCCGAAACGTCAGCCTCTCTGCTCCTAAAATTCTGAAGCAAGACTGGATTTCTTTTACATAAACACCTGTGGGAGCGACATTTGCCATAGAAAGGTTACCTCCGTTGGCATGTTGGTTGCTGATCCTGTAATCCCATTTTCTGTAGTGATGTTGTTGGAGCTGTTGTTGGGGGAGCTTGGGCCAGATCCAGGAGCACTGTTACAAGCTGAATCTGAACAAACAAGAAACATAATTAGCAAATTCTCACTAAAACTTCAAGCCACGTTTGCTAAATCATAAGCGAATACAAGTAATGATCATTTGCTGCCGATTACAATGTTACTGATAAGCCACACCAGCTAAACATGGTCTCCATGAGGCACAGACAGAATATATTATCATAGGGAATGAGGAAGTGGCAGAGACAATGAATAAATATTGTCTGTCTTCAGCTGAAGACACAAATTCCACACCAGAAACAGACAAACATAAATCTTGTTACTCTTATCAGACATTAAGAAAATGAATATTAGTAGAAAAACAGTAGAGAAACTTAAGGCACTAAAGTCCAACAAATCCCCTGGATCTGATGGTGTACATTCTTGGGTTCTGAAAGACACACAAGTTACTGTGTGCCCACTCATAAGACATCTTTTTAAGAATTTTTAAGAAGTGCTGCACATGTAAACAAATAGACCACATGCACAAAACAAATTAAACCAGACGCTTGCTGCTACATTTATTAAAAAACAAAACATTTCCTTTGTTCAGAGCCACTAGTTACTCCTGTTATCATTACTCTTTCCTTCCAACTTGCTGCATAATCTAATTGGCAAAAACATGACCAAGAGGTTATAAAATGAAAACTTCCTCCATTATGGCCATTGCAATATTCTATATACATGTATGATTTTAAGGATAAGTGCTAACACAGTTTCTCATTGTGGGAGAATCTGAAACTAAGTGCCTGAGTTTAAAAATAATGGTCCTTCCATTGAAGACAGAAATGAGGAGGAATTTTCTCTCTCAGAGAGACCTTAGGCTTTTGAACTCTCTTCCCCAGAGAGCAGTGTCATCAAATTTGCTGTATCAAGCCTTAGTTAGACAGAGGTTTGATCTAACAATGCTGGGGAACTGTAAAGTTTCCCCAGCTGGAGGAAATAGCTTCCTCCTGGTTTAAACTGGGAGCACAGCCCCTTCCTATAGTTTTTAAAACAAAATGTGCAGCAACAAAGAATGAGTTTTCAAAGTCTGCTCAGGGACTGAATGTGCCACTCTCGGAGATTGCTTTGTAAAATTCTAAAGTGTGAGGATGTGGAAAGTTTGTGAGAATTGCAGAGTAATGCTTGTAGTTTAGTCAGGATCTGGGTGTGAATTTGAAACTTCAACGTTGAGGTTCAGCTGCTGTTTGAAGTCAGTCTGTCTCTGTGATGTCTCGACATTATAACAGAGAGTGAGAGAGAATGGGAGTGAGCAAGAAAATGAGAGAGAAAGAGAGAAAGAGGCAGAAGGAAACCCAGTGAGAGTGGGACAGAGAGAGTGACAGAGTGAGTGAGTGACAGAGAAAGAGACACAGACAGGGACAGCATGACAGAGAGTGACAACATTTAAAAGACATTTGGGTACGTACATGAATAAGAAAGGTTTAGAGGGATATAGGCCATATGCAGGCAAGGGGTCTAGTTTAGTTTGAGAAGCTTGATTGGCATGGACAAGTTGAACTGAAGAGTCTGTTTCTGTGCTGTATGACTCCAAGGCTATGGGAAGCAGGCATGAAAGTGGGCTTGAGACCACAATCAAATCAGCCATGATCTTAATGAACATGCAGCACACTCTAGAAGTCAAATAACCTCGTCTTATTCCTATTTCTTATGATCTTCGGAAAGAAAACAGTCATGATAAATGAATCATTTTGAGAATGGCAGGTGCCACATGAATTCTTTGTTCCTCACACAATGTTGATTGAAAGTACTCTATCATCAAATGGATAGAACATGTACATTACAATTGATTTTCTTTAGTTATGGAAGGCAACATACCACTGTATTTCAATATTAAGCCTTTTAAAATACAAAGTTTTGAAAGACTGATGAAAAAACATAAACCACATTTTTGAGGCTACTGCCCCGAGATAAATGAGATCTAGGCTTGAAACGGTCAGGAAGTTAATTCCACTTCCCACCCGGAGTTGAATGCCCATCCTTTGATGTGTCAGGAGGTTCCCCTATAATTGCTTCAGTTAAGCTCCCTAATGAGTGAATGGAGCAGAAATACATTGCAGATCCTTAGGAATCTCAAGAAGGGATATTCTCACAATAAATTAAAACATTTGAGGTGATAAATAACAACCAATCTTATTTCTGAAAAGAATGCTGAACATAACATTATATAAATATTACAAATTAAAAGAAAATTAAACTCAGAGACGTCAGGCAAAACGCTAGCTCCTATATGTTCCAAAACCTGCAAGATACCTTGAGGACGTTACCTGGTCAGGTAAGGACGCAGTCACTATTTACAAGCATTTGGCTACTTCATACTGAAGTCAGATGCCAACAGGAATACACTTCCTTTTGATTTGGATATGAAGTATATAACTCTATGAATCAGAATTGTGGATATACAATCTGGAAAGTGAATAGAATTGGGATCTTGAACATTTTCCTTATGTTGAAATGAAAGAATACAGTTTACACAATGAGCGTCTGTTGAATTGCAGACAGTATATTGGCATAGATTGAGGAATTAGAAAATCAAAACATTAGCACAGTCAACATGGTTCTGGATAAAACTTAAGGGAAAACTTTAGTTGACAAATTTATTAGAATTTGATGAGCAGGGGAGGTAAAGGCAACAGTTGATGTGGGCTATTTGGATTTTCAAAATGTGTTGATTGTATTTAAAACTCAAAAGAAAGCTCATAGTTTTGGGGGAGACGATTATGGTGATGAAACAGTGTAAACTAACCAAATTTGTTGATGATTAAAAGAAAGGAAAGCAGACTTTAAGGAGGATATGAAGAGTCTGCAAAGGGTTACAGACGGTTTAAGTGAGTGGGCAAGAATTTGGCAAATGGAGTACATGTGAAAAAGCAAAGTTGACTGCTTTGGCAGGAAGAATAAAAAGCAGTGTATTATTTAAATGGAGAGATTTCTGAATGGTGTAGTGCAGGAACGTCTAGGTGCCCTTATAGATCTTTACTGAACTTAAATGACATTGCCATCTCAATTTATTAACATTACTTCTGAGCAATGTAGTTTGTGCTTTCATGTCAAATACATCTTTACCCTTTACAGCTCCATCCAAGTCTTGAATATTATTGCCATAACTGGGAAGACTCTTCCTGCAGCTGTCTTGTTTTTCTGAACAGGATACAAGATAAAACTGATGGGTGACCCATCTTTCTTCACTACAACCCATGTTATCCTTTTCTACTTTAGTGGTACTACAAAAATAATCTTCTTCAGACTATCCCATTTTACTCCTTCCAAGTTCCAAATACTCAATTCTCGCACTCATTCCACAACCTCCATCTTCAATATAGAAAGGACAATGCTCCAGGGAAATTAAGGATGGACAATGAACGCTGACTCAGCCAATGAAGCCCACATCTCTTGAACGTACTATAACTCATCGTCACCACAATTTCAAGGTCTTAACTCCATCCTGGAATTTCATGGCTTTTAAAACCTAGGCATTTCACCACACAATCCCTATTTTCTGATTTATGCCATTTTAAAAAATTACTTCTGCTGCGGCCAATCATCTGGTGTTGACCCTCTGTGCAGGACTTCACTTTGTTTACTTTTTAATAAAAAAAGAGGAATATAGTTTTCACTGATGATTTCTCATGTTTTTTCACCAAATGAGAAAACATCCTACTTTCTGTAAAATAATGAAAACAATAAATGCTGGAGATCAGAGTGGGGCTCGCAGTATCCATGGAGAGATAGCAAGCTAATGTTGAATCTAGATAACTCTTCATCACAGCTGAAGTGCAATACAGATTCCAGCATCTGCAATAATTTGCTCCTACATGCTGTAAAATAGTAATGTTCTGATCTATCATTGGAATATCCACCAGTAACAGAGTAACATGAATGTTTGAGGATTTTTTTTATGGAGTGGAAATTAGCAGACAAAGACCAAATGATGAGTTGTCTCCATCCCTTCCAAATCCTGCAGCAGAGTCTCCTTTGGTCTGAAAAGTCATCTGCTTAATTCTGTGAAGCAGTGTGTGCATTGAGTACGATGTATGGCAGCCTACAGTCATCTAGCATAATTCTCACAATGTCTGATGCTTCTGAAAATTGACAAAGCCACCCGTGACTTGCTTTCAGAGTCTTTTCTACAGGAAAGGGAAATCCATGAACCTCTTATTGAAGGACAGTAAGAAAGCTTCACACTATCTGCATAGCATAATAATTTCTGCTTAAATTCTAATCTCCTTGCCAAGGTAATTCAACAAAAACCAAATAAGTTAAACTTTCTCAGTAGCACTCATTATTCAGAACTTCAGCACATAGTGGTGGCATTGCGAATAGACAGCCGAGGTCTCCCAGAGAGCAAGCTAAGCAGAGGATTCATCAAAGACTGTTGAAATTTTAACTTTATTCCTTTATTTTTCTAGTTTATGTTAGGAAGGACTTTAATACTAACAATCACCTCATTTGTTTTTCAACTTATTCTATGAAGGTAATGCTCAACTTTTTAAACTTTACTAAACTACTCAATCCTACTCACCACTATTTCAGAAATTTGAAACTAGAAGGATAGAAAGCTATAGAATATGCAGATGAGTTGTACAAATTACACCTGCTCATAACTGTAGTGACTGTAACAAGGTCAACCACCTGGAATTCACAGAATACAAGTTCCCTGATTGGACCAGATTAACAGCCCCCATCAGGGAGACTTGACTGACATAAAAGGATGACTGTCAGGGATATTGAAATGCCTGACTCAGTGCTATTATCAAAAGCTATACATTTGTAAATAAAGGGTGATTGGTTACAAGATGCTAGCCTCTGAAGAGGTATTTCAGCGGTGACCAGAGTAAAGAACAATCCTGAAGAAACGCGCTTATAGCAGTTGTTTTGAAGTTGAGGGTAAGCTTTGTTTGAAAACCTCCATTTGGGCAGCTTGACTTGATCTTGCCGTTGATAAGTGGGCCCAGTATGTGAAAAGTGCATTTTTTCCCCAAGCAAATAACATGTAGCGGATGAAAAAAAA